GGTATGGGAATACTTTGATGGAAATACATTGTATGCATATATGAAATGGCCAAAATTAAATCTTTTGAAAAAATTGTAGCAAATTTTAAGAAGTGGTTTAGGTGATAAGAAAAAGTAATGTAAAGGCAAATAACATTGAAATATACTATATATAGGTATATAGATTTCTATGAACACATTATTTTTATATCATTAAAATATACTAATAAAAAATTGAAAATGGATTAAATGAATATTCCTTATTTAATTATAAAATCACACATTGAAAGATAATTCAAAATTCACACGAAAATAAAATTTGTCATTGAACTTTGTTTTTGCTATTATGAACAGTGCTGTTATTAACTATATTATCTTTTCCCAATTGTACAATATATCATTGGGATACAAATCTGACATTTTAATGTGTGGTCAGTTTAAATCATTAAGGCAAAATGAAAAGAGTAGATCTTTTTGTGGGAGATGATACACAGTGGAATTTCCCAGGAAAGGTATTGGGTCTTAAAAAGCAATAATGTTAATTGTCAATAGAAAGAGGCATCTTTTTCTCAAACTAACTAAATGAGAAATCTTGCTGAACCAAAAACTAGTTTTAAATGTCCACAAGTGGAGAAAAATATATGTGTGAATGATGCTACTATAATCTTAGGAGGAAAGAAACTTTGACAAACTCATGGAACAGGAAGGTCAATTAACATCTTACTTCACAGAATAGATCATCAGCCATGACCTACATGACTCAGAGACCATGACTGAAATACAAACTTGTGTCGGTTTCTTCATTCAAATAGCAGTTCTAAGTACAATTGAGTTTAATGTAAGCAGCACCTAAAGTTAGCCTTTGTAAGTTATTATAGTATCACTTTGGAAGATGATCAGACAGTATTTATTTTCTACCAGGCTTCGAATAATGAACATTGAGATAGATTCAGGATCAATTTTGTAACAAACTGAAAAGATATATTATAAGATCATGTTATGGTATTGTGAGAAACTTACAGACAGGCAGGAGCCTGGAATTTAGGGACATATATTCCAGTCCTCCAGTTCAGGGCTGATGAGTTATGCATGCTCACACTTTTGTTTATGGTGCTCATGAAACAGCATGGGATCAGTAGAAAGAGTCTTGGGTTATCACACTGAGTCTCCAGCTTGGTTTTGGTGGAGTCACCTTTCCCTAGTGTAAGGTGAGAAGAATGGAAATGTTTTGAACTACCAAGTTCCTAATGGCTGCCTTGTGGTTATTATAATTCCTCAAAGGGTCAACTCAAATGCCTTTTTCAACAAGTCTTTTTCCCCCCCAGAGGAACATAAGACAATGAAGCAATTATATCCTGTTTGTCTCCAATTTGGAACTGGGAATGAGGCCCTGCCTTTCAGATACTCTCCATGGTTTGTAAAAGTAGGACTCACAGAGATTGCCCAGAGATTGTGAATAACTCCATGTTGCTATATCTGTCTTCTTTGGTTCTAGACTCTTCTTTTTGTTGACATTAGAAGATTGGGCCACTTAGAGATTTAATTGGTTTGGCTGTATTTTGTGACTTCTAAGTGAAATAGAAGAACTTTCCCACATCTTACAGTTAAAGGTATTTGTGCTTATCATCTAAGAGGTTCTATTAGGATAGAGTAAATATTAAGTAGTATGGTAGTACTCATGTGTGTGTTTCCAGCATGTTACTGATTTCTAGGTCTCACCCCTTTTCACATCATAGCAAGTGCCATTAATTTTATGTCTCATTCTCAGCAGATTCAGGTACTATTTGTACCTAAAAGGATACAACAACCCACCCATTCTCATCTAATATCTATCTAGCTGCCAGCAAGACATTTGCTATTTTATGTGTGTGTGTGTGTGTGTGTGTGTGTACCAGTACTGGGGTTTGAACTGAGGGTCTCACACTCATGCTCAGCTTCTTCACTCAAGCCTGGTGCTTTACTACTTGATAGGTCATGGGGCTTTGAACTCTGGGCCTGGGCGCTGTCCCTGAACTCTTCAGCTTAAGGCAAATGCTCTACCACTTGAGCCACAGCACCACTTGTACTCTGCCACTTGAGAACCTTACTTTGAGTTCTGGATTTTTGAAAGTTAATTGGAGATAAGACTCTCTTGGATTTGTCTTCCCAGGTTGACTTTGAACTGGAATCTTCAGATCTCAGATTTTTGAGGAGCTAGGATTATAGGTGTGAGCTTCTGGCATATAGCTCACTTGATATTTTTTAATCACTACTTTTTCTTGAGTTTACTATTTTTCTAGAATAGATGAAAACTTCCAATTTTGGCAGACAATATGCTTCTTGCATATTCTTCAACCTATTGTTTCCCTAACATGATTCTCTTGAAATTTTCTCACCCCCCTCCTTGCTCTGTCCTCTCCCCCTAAGAATCACAAGCATGTTTATATTTTTGGGGGGGTGTCCAGTTGTGGGGCCTGAACTCTGGGCCTGGGCACTGTCCCTCAGCTCTTCAGCTCAAGGCTAGTGCTCTACCAGTTGAGCCATAGCACCACTTCTGGCTTTTTTTCCCTGCTTATGTGGTGCTGAGGAATCGAACCCAGGGCCTCATGCATGCAAGCCAAGCGCTCTACCACTGAGCCACCTTCCCAGCCCAAGCATGTCTATTTTTGCAGGACTTTGCTGCAGATTCATTTATGGATTTATGGAACACCTAAGAATTGTCTTTTTCATTACCTCAGCTCTTGTGATTAAAAAAAAATCACAATCATGAAGAAAAATTCTCAATTGTTCTACTTTTGAAAATTTATTTCATAGGTATATATACATATATTATCCTACAGAAATATATAATCTATACTAAAAATTAATTTAAAACAATGATTATTGAAATACTGCTGGAAATAGTAAAAATATTAGGAACAATTATTGTGCCCAGAGGTAATTATCACCACTTTCTTTGTGATAAATCAATTTTCAAGTCAATGATTGAGTAACATAATTGCATTATGATCAATCTTAGGAAAAAATTTATACTAACAAGATTTTTAATGCGGTGTCTCAAAAATGGGGACATTTTCTTGATAATTTTGATTACTTTGGGTGATTTTGAACATTAAAATAAGCTTCAGTTAACTACCAAATGACTGGCATACTAGATAATGATACCTCTCAGCTGAAAAATAAACCCCAACAGCAACCCATAGTTTAAACAAATCTTGTTATTAACATGCATTAGTTGTGCAAAGTATTTCATTAAAAAATTTCCATACATGCATGTATTATATTACTATTTCTTATTCCTCTCCCATTTTGAAACAGTTTTAATGAGTTTCATGATTCTGTTTTTTTATAGATGTGTTTGAAGTCCTTAGATATTATAGCTCTCTTCATCTTTCCCTACTGATTACCACCTACCCAAAGTCCCCATTTTATGCTCATATCATTAAATTTTTACTCAATACTATATGAGACAGAATATATGACATTTGTCTTTCTCAGTCTGTCTTATTTAGTTTAATGCGAAGATCTTCCATACTAACACATTTCATGGAAAAAAGCTACTATACAGAAAATGTTTTTAATCTTTTGGGGAGATAGATAATCATTTTCTCATTCTTTAATAATCATTTCCATGGATAGAATTCTTTTAACAGACCTGAAGGGGAATAGAGAGGAATTATGGTGTAGCAGTGTAGAAGGAATAGTAGAAATACATAAAAAAGTCAATGAACAGCTTTTGCATAAGACCTCATTGAGGAATTACAGAAGAGAAGATTTCATTTGTTATGGCTAGCCAGACAGAACGAAGTTTGATGGCATGTATAAGCTGGGTCTAGAAAAGACATATCTCTAATGTTCTAATAATGAATAAAAGGATTTTGTTTGAATTGAGAGAGCAATGTGTTAGTGTGAAAAGGAAGATATTTGATAAATATTTCATGATCATTCCTTTAGAAAGAGTTTTGACAAACCCAAAATATTATATGGAAATGATTTTAATTTATTTTATTAATTTAAAAATTACCTTTAGTTACACAAACGAGTTGCCATTTAACAAAGAAGATTATGAATACAATACAATATATCTTGATCAATGGTACCCCTTTCATTGGATAGATTTTTTTTTCCAGTCCTGGGGCTTGAACCCTGGGCTTGGGCGCTGTCGTTGAGCTCTTGTGCTCAAGGCTAACGCTCTACCACCTGAGCCACAGCTCCACTTTGGGCTTTTTGTGGTAAATCGAAGATAAGAGTCTCATGGACTTTCTTGACCATGCTGGCTTCAAGCTGTGATCCTCAGATCCTTAGCCCCCTGAATAGCTAGGTTTAAAGGCATGATCCACTGGTACCAGGAAAGATTTTAAAAAAGGAAAAACCGATGCGTATATTACAATATCGGCCATTAGATTCTGTTGTTATTAATCATGATGCCTTAAAAATGTGCCCTGATATGATAGCTATGAAATATATACCAAGTATCCAGTTCCTGATAATTTTCACCAATTCCAAAGCAACTCACTCAGTTCTCATCTTGATTCAATCCATGGAAGTAAAGCACTAAACAAAGTGTGTTCAAGAGACACTGGAAATTTAAGAGGTCCACAAACCACAGAGATGACCTGCTTTTCTGTTAGCAAGTTACTCACCTGTCCTTGCACAATAATTCCCTAATTTCAAATTCCACCAAGAATTCATGGACACCATAAGCTGGAACCTAGCATGACTTGATTAATCACATTGGTGTTTCAGAGTTTCTCCAGTTTTTTTCTAGGTGTGCAAACTTCATCTTTTTCCACCACAGCACAGCCTATTACAATGTCAGAAGAGGTTAATTCAGGTTAAATTGCACAAATGTTTCTTTTTCTGCTGTGCTTTCCATCCCTCTCTCTCTCCCTCATATCTTCCTTTGCTATCTCTTCCCCCACCTCTCTTGTTGAACATGGGGATTGATAAAAATGATACTTAAAAAAAAAAGTAGCAACCATAAAGACTTTTTACTTTTACACTTTGATTTGCATTTTAATTTGCAACAAGAGAAGAAACACATGAGGAAAGAAAATCAGAGCAGTGCATCAGAGTTCATCCTCCTGGGGCTCCCCATCAGGCCAGAGGAGCAAGGCCAGTTCTATGCCCTTTTCCTGGCCATCTACCTGACCACCGTGCTGGGGAACCTGCTCATCATCCTGCTCATCAGGCTGGACTCCCGCCTCCACACCCCCATGTACTTCTTCCTCAGCCACTTGGCTTTCACTGACGTCTCTTTCTCCTCCGTCATAGCCCCGAAGATGCTCACGAACATGCTGACACAGAGCCGGTCCATCCCCTATGCTGGATACATTTCCCAGGTGTATTTTTTCTTATTTTTTGCAGTTCTTGACAGCTTCCTCCTCACCTCCATGGCTTATGACAGATATGTGGCCATCTGTCACCCCCTGCACTACACCGCCATCATGAGTCAGAGGCTGTGTTTCCTGCTGGTTATTGTGTCCTGGGCCTTGTCCTCTGCAGTTGCTCTTGTGCACACTCTCCTCCTAGCTCGTCTCTCTTTCTATGGAGACAATACTCTGCCCCATTTCTTCTGTGACCTCTCTGCCTTACTTAAGCTGTCCAGCTCAGACACCACAGTCAATGAGCTGGTTATCCTCACGGTGGGAACAGTGGTCATTACCGTGCCATTCCTATGCATTCTGGTCTCTTATGGCCGCATTGGGGCCACCATCCTGAGAGCTCCCTCCTTGAAGGGAATCTGCAAAGCCCTGTCCACATGTGGCTCTCACCTCACTGTGGTTTCTCTGTACTATGGGCCAATTATTGGAATCTACTTTGTGAGCTCATCCACTGACACCAATGACAAGGACGTCATCGTGGCTGTCTTGTACACGCTGCTCACACCCATGTTAAATCCCTTTATCTACAGTCTGAGGAATCGAGATATGAAAGGAGCTCTGAAAAAGTTGTTCAGTAGAGGAAACTTCTGAGTGTGATCTGCATTGTATTTTGTATTTTCTGTTAACTGGATATGAGATTCTCTGTATGCCACCTCTTCCCTCTGACTTGTAGTTTCTTTTTTTTTTTTGGGTCCGGTTGTGGGGCCTGAACTCTGGGCCTGGGTGCTGTCCCTCAGCTCTTCAGCTCAAGGCTAGCGCTCTACCACTTGAGCCACAGCGCCACTTCTGGCTTTTTTTTTTTCTGCTTATGTGGTGCTGAGGAATCGTACTCAGGGCCTCAGGCATGCAAGGCAAGCTCTCTACCACTGAGCCACCTTCCCAGCCCTTGTAGTTTCTTTTGAAACTTGATACAGCATACTTTTTGGTCTTTATATCTCCTGTAATGAATTCGGTATATGTTTTAGCTATCTTCTTACTCTTGAGAGTTTTGGAAATGGATTTGAAAAAACATAAACACATTGCTATTTTCCTCTTTGCATACTGTCTTTATCCCTCATCGCTTTTAATATTTATATAAACACAGCTTTTCATCTTTAAAAAAATTAGCTCTGGACTCTGGTTGGAATGTTTTCCCTATCTCAATGTAGTAATAATTTTCTTGGTGTGTTCACTAGTGTTTCCATATTTAATTGTATAATATACTTCAAATATTTAATGGAATATTTGTTAGACATTGAGTTTTAGGTATTAAAATTATTTTTTTATTATTTATATTTATGTTGATATATAAAATGATAGATTTTATGAAGTACCTTTTGATGTTCCTGTATATGTGTATGGTGTACAATGTTAAAGTAAAAAAAATCTATTTTTTTCAAATATTTATTGCTTATTTCTGATCAAATATTCAGAACACTTTCTTTGTATTATTTCTGAAAGATACAGTATTTGTCACTTTCTGCAGACATGCTACTGTGCAGGTAAACCCTAGAACTGCTTTCTCCCTTTTAAGTGTGAACCCAAGATGAGCCCATCTTCTTGTGTCTTTGCCTCTATATTCTACTCAATTGTGTAATTTCTTTTGCATTGTCCAAAAATGTTTTAATTTTCTTTCAAAAAGATGGTCATTAGCATATGAAGACATGATTAATATCTCTGGCTATAAAGAAATTGCAAATCAAAACAACTAGATTCCACTAGGAAGGTGGCTCAGTGGTAGAGTGCTTGCCTTGCATGCATGAGGCCCTGGGTTTGATTCCTCAGCATCACATAAGCAGAAAAAGCCAGAAGTGGTACAGCGCTAGCCTTGAGCTGAATTGCTGAGGGACAGAGCCCAAGCCCAGAGTTCAGGCCCCACAACCCACAAAAAACAAAACAAAACAAAACCAAAACCAAAAACAACTAGATTCCATCGTTCTCCAGTTAGAATGGCCATCATAAGAATAACAACAATTACTAGCCCTGATGTAGGTGAAACTAATACACTGTTGATGGGAATGTAAACTTGTTCAGCCACTCTGGAAAGCAATTTGGAGTTTTCTTAAAAAGCTTAACATTGATCTACCCTATGATCAGCAATCCCAGTCTTGGACATTTATGCAAGAGATTATGAATAATACACTGTAAAGCCACTTGCACAACCATGATTTATTACTGTATAATTCACCATAGAAAAGGTATGGAAACAGTTCAGATGACACTCAATGGATGAGTGGATCAAGAAAACAGGGTATATGTTACACAATGGAATCTTATCCATTAGAAAGAAGCATAGTACATCATTTGGAAAAAAACGGATGAACTTGGAAAAATTTATGTTAAACCAAGGCCTAGAGAGACAAAGGGCACATATTCTCTCTTATATATGGAAGCCAGAACTAATGTATAAATGTATTAACTAATAAATTTATTAATCAAAGTATAGTATCTGCAGGGTATTTTTCAAACAGTGTAATTCCTTAGAAGAACTGGCAGCTTAATAAAATGAATACCAGGAAACTGGCACTTGAAAGGTATAGGGGGCCAGGCACCAGTGGCTCATGCCTATAATCCCAGCTACTCAGGAGGCTGAGATCTGAGGATCATGGTTCAAAGCCAGCCTGGGCAAGGAAAGTCCATGAGACTCTTATCTCCAATTAACCACCAGAAAACTGGAAGTGGCCCTGTGGCTCAAGTTGTAGAGCACTCGATTTAAGCTGAAGAGCTGAGGGATAGACCCCAGGCCCAGAGTTCAAGTCTCATGACCAGCAAAACAAAAAAATCCAGAGGAAAAAATTAATAAGGAACAGAATGCCATGAAATAGAAAGAAGGGAGATGCTCCATGAGACCAAAAGTTACTTCTTGAGAAAAAAGTTAGCAAATTGAGATACATAGAGCTACAAGAATGCAAATAACTTAAATGAATCTCTAATGATGAATGAGGTTGAAACAACAATAAAGGGTCACATATATTTAAAAGGGGGCAGGTGAAGTAGCTCACACCTATAATGTAAGTTAATTGTGAAGTAGAGATTGAGAGGATCACAGTTCAAGGGCAGCCTGGGGAAAAAAGTTAGTTAAAGTCCCATCTCAACCAAATCTGGGAATGCTAGCATATGCCTGTCATTCCAGGTATGCAGAAAACTTATATAGGAAGATCATAGTCCAGGGCAGCCCAGGCAAAATATGTAAGATCCTACCTAAAAACAGACTGAAGCACAAGGGCTGAGCACATGGCATGAATGGTAGAGTGCCTTTCTAGCAAATACAAGGTCCTGAGTTCAAACCAGGCATTTATTTATTTTTTATATTAATGATCTCTAAGTAGTTGTACAAAGGAGTTGCCACTTAACAAAGCAGTTTATGGAAGCAGTGCACTTTGATCTGTGTCACCCCTTTCAACCTTCTCATTCTCCCATTCATCCCTTCTCTGACTACATTCTTCCCTTCCTTCTGCTCTTTTCCTCTTTGATCCCTCTTCCCTGGGCCCCACCTTCCCCTCCGGCAAGTACCTGGGGCTTACTTTGTTGGGCGTTGACTTTGCCTTTCTAAGGAATTACACTATTTGAATTCTCCCTTGAATCTACCATATTTCAGTTTGTACATTTGCAATCAGTCGCCTATCACCTAGCGTGTTTACTTACAGGTTTATAGGCAAATTCTAGCTTCCATGAGGGAAAACATGTAACCATTCTCTCTCTGGGTCTGACATACTTCACTTAATATGGTTTTTTTCCCCCAAGTCTTTCCATTTCTCCACAATGGATACAATATTGTTATTTCTAATGGATGAGTAAAATTCTATTGTGTATATATGCCACATTTTCTTTTTTTCCCCATCACTGTTAATATTCTTTTTTTTTTAAATTGTGAAAATGCCGTACAGAGGGGTTACAATTACATGAGCAAAGTAATGAGTACATTTCTTATCAAGCATTGTTGCCTCCTCCTTTGTTTCCTCTTCCCATCCCTTCCCATCTCCCCCCTCCTACCTCTACCCCGCCCCTCGTGGCTCCCCCCCTGCCAAAGTTTAAAGTTCGTTTACATCTCATTGTTTCAATGGGTCCACCTGTATCCCTATTTTTTTATTTTATTTTATTTTTTTATGGTAAAGATACTATACAGAGGGTTACAGTTACATGAGTAAGGTAATGAGTACACTTCCTATTGAGCATTGTTACCCCCTCCATTGTTTTCCCCCTACCAGCCCTTCCCTCCCTACCTTCCCCGAGGTTCTTTTTTTTTTTTTTTGATTGTGATTAAGTGATTACATAATTTCCCAAATTTCACAGTATTGTGGAATAATGATGCTCATTTAAAGTCAGAAGTTCATTCTAATTTTCCTGGAGCAAATTGTCTATCACAGTCTGTAACATATAACGGTGTTCACATGTTATACACCATACATGTGATCAGCAGCATGGGGATATTTAGTAGTGGTTTGACCAGATGAGTGGGAGTTCTTTGTTTCTTAAGTCCTGTTAGTTTTGTCATATCACCTAACATTTTGGATTTAGCATCCACTTATCAGGGAGACCATGTACCGTTTGTCTCTTTGCTCTTGGCTTACCTCGCTCAACATGATTCCTTCTAGCTCCATCCATTTCCCTGCAAATGCCATTATTTTGTCATTTCTAATGGCTGCATAATATTCCATTGTGTATAGATACCACAATTTTTGGATCCATTCATCTATGGTGGGGCATCTGGGTTGTTTCCATAACCTACCTATTGTGAACAGTGCTGCAATAAACATGGAGGTGCACATGTCCTTGTATATTGGTTCCTGTTGTTCAGGGTAGATGCCTAGAAGTGGTATGACTGGGTCGTAAGGGAGGTCAATCTTTAGCTTTCTAAGGACCCTCCAGACTGCTTTCCAAAGTGGTTGTATAAGTGTACATTCCTACCAGCAGTGTAATAGGGTTCCTCTTTCTCCACATCCCCTCCAGCATTTGTCATTGGCTGACTTGAGGATGTGGGACATTTTGAGTGGGGTAAGGTGGTATCTCAAGGGTTGTCTTTATTTGCATTTCCTTCACCACCAGGGATGATGAACATTTCCTCATGTGTTTCTTTGCCATTTTTATTTCTTCATTTGAGAAGTCCCTCTTTAGTTCCCTTGCCCATTTAGTAATTTGTTTGTTAGGTTTGGGAGGAATTAGTTTCTTGAGTTCCCTGTATATACGGGATGTTAACCCCTTGTCTGATATATTGCTGGTAAATATTTTTTCCCAATTAGTTGGTTGTCTTTCTAGCTTGGTTGCAATAGATTTAGCTGTGCAGAAGCTTTTTATTTTAAGGTAGTCCCATTTGTCGAGTCTCTCTCCAACTTGTTGTGACCCTGGGACTCTGTTCAGGAAGTTCCTTCCTGTGCCTATTAGTTCAAGTGTCTCTCCTACTCTGTCCTGCAGTAGTTTCAGAGATTCAGGTTTAATGTTAAGGTCTTTAATCCATTTTGAGTTGATATTGGTGCATGGTGACAGGCTGGGGTCCACTTTTAGTTTTCCGCATGTGGCTGCCCAGTTTTCCCAGCACCAGTGGTTGAAGAGGCTGTGTTTCTTCCATTGTTTGTCTTTGGCTCCTTTGTCGAATATCAGCTGGCTGTAGGCCT